GCTTTTGGGTTGGGGCAGGGTGTGGGGACCCCTGCCAGTGAGCCGTGAGTCCCTCCTCTGTCTCCTGCCTCTCGGAGAGTTGATATTTGGTGTGGTGGCACATAGGATGGACTTTTGTTTTTAAGGGGAAATGAAAACAGCTTGATGTAAAGAAAGCACAGATGGGCTAGACATAACAAAGAACCGATTTGTGGCCGAAAGCCAGTAAATGCCCACCTCTCCCATCAAAACACAGCTTCAAGCAGGAAAAGACACCAGGGTGTAATACAGACCCACAAGGGGCTGTCGAGGAGCTCTTTTCTGTGGGATGACTCTGAAGTCAAGTGTCTGGAAACGCTGATGACTTTGAAGTCTATTGGAAGAGGAAAAGTTCACCAGCTCAGCTCAGAAACCCTTTCCCCTGCATATGTGCTGGAAGCGACGGCACACGTAATTTCTCTCCCTGCATAGGAAACCTCAGCCCCGTTGCTCCCTGGCAGAAGGAAGCGGGGCTGGCGCGTGGGGGAGGCAGTGGTGCCGGCTCGTAGATGCGGCATGTCTCAGGGCGAGATGTCCAAATGAAGGGTAGAGCTGGATGAGGCTTTTGCATGGCCGTTCCTGAGACGGTGGCTGGGCTGCAGCAGGCGCTGGCTCTGGTGGCATCCTGCAGTGTGCTCTGCTGGGTTGTGATGTGGTGTCAGAGCAGTTTAGGTTGGCCACAGGGGAGTTTCTGCTGTGTTTGAGAAGACACTGCCTTAATCTCTCATCCTTTGGTATAACACCTGTATGGCATACAGGCTTATTTGCTTGACTTGATGTGTTTAGGGTCGTTTTTCAGCTGTGAACACCCCTGTTTGTAACGCATCCCCATTCAGGGAGAGCTGCCCTTTGACCATATCATTCCTGTTACATAAGAAACTGTTTCTTCAAAACAAGTTTGTTGGGTTTTAGATGGCGGGAAGGCAGGTAAACAGCCGGGGAGTGTGTCAGGCTGCATGACGTGTCCTCCCTCATGGTGGAGATGCTGTGGTCTGCAGAACGTGATGCTCAGGGCTGCGTCTCACAGCTGTAGCCTGACGGCTGCTCCGTGAATCACGGCAGCCCCTCCAGGATGCCACAACAGGGGGGCAGGGTGCTCACCGAGACCACCGCATGCCCCCAGTGCTCTGTGGTGCTCAGCAGGCCCAAATGCAGGGAAAGCACTCATGAACTCAGTCCATAGGGAAGAGGGACACACTGATCCCTTGCCCTGCTGGGCACATGCATGTTATTTTCCTCATTTATTTTGCTCATTTAGGCAGAGCCAGGGATGACCCAGGGCTTGCTCTTCTTTGTGAATTTGGAGACAGATCTAATACTTGGGCATATTATTTAAATGACTGTTCCTGCAGTGAGGCCAAAACCAAATGAACCTCAATCCTGTACTGCTTAGTAACACTTCCTCACCCAAGAAGGGGATGATCTTTAAAGGCAACTTCTCCCTGTATACCTCTGCAGCAACACAAAGAGATGGGCCCTTCTTTTGGGCATATGTGGGATAGAGATGCTTTCCTATCAGGGCAGCCGGGCACAAACCCAGTGGGATAGCAGAGTCACAGGCATTCATTTATTTTCTTTATTTTAAAATAGTGGTGGGGTAATAAGAAAGGCGGGGGACTTCAGTGTAAAAAATGGGTTAATGGACCCACCTGTGAGCCAGAGTATCTATCTGAAGTGTTCATCTCGCCCATCACTGCGGTCAGAGCCATGTATCTGAGTGCAGTGGTGTAAGGCAGGAAGCCCCACTGTTTAGAGGGTAGCTGACTTGCACCAGCTCTGGATCTGGCCCACCTCCCCACAGGGTTTTACTGGTGTGTGAGGGCCTTACTGGTGTGTGACAAATCACAGTCTGTTATGGTGGGGTCGCTGCCAGTTACAGGATTGCACAACAGCAACAGAGCAAAAAAAAGTCCATTGTGGTTTCAAGCCACCCGCGAGCTCTGACTTTTTTTCTTTTAGTTTCCTTAAATAACGTGGTGTATCTGTGGGAAGTACAGGCCTCTGGGAAGCTGCTCTACCAGAGCAGCCACAAAAGTCGTTCCTTGCCGTGGCCCCACCAAGCAGGACCATGGGTCCCCAGGTGGGCACAGCCTCGGTGAGGAGCAAAGCACCAGTAGCCCAAGGAGCACAAACCCCTTGGAGCAGCCTTCCAGTTTATTCCTGTTGAACACCAGTTAAAGTTAGCACAATTACACAGCTGAGAAGAGACAATCATCTTGAGATAACATGCTCCAAGCTTTGTTGATGTCTGGGGGATGTGGTCTAACCAGGAACACGTTACTGAAAGCCAATATGTGATGGACTATTAGTATGAGCAACACAAGTGGGCAGGCTTGATGAAAGGAAATTGAATGCTGCAAAAACGAAATCAAGAGTAGGAGCGAAAGGAAACCAGCTCTTTTTTCTCTGAACTCAGTTATTTGTGCTGAATCAGCTTCAAGCTGTTTCTGTGCCTCTCTGTGAGATCTTAAATAAATCTCTTGGTTACGGGAGTTCATCCTCTTCTTTCCCCAAGGCTGTCTGGTGTTAAGAGCTCTTGTGTTCACAGAGAAGCTGTTTGTTTCTCTCTCTCCCTTTTCCCGTTTCTGCAGACCACAGCATCGGTTCCTGTTGATCCTCGCGGGTCCCAGCACCCGAGCAGGAAACTCAGCTCTATTGTCAGGAGCACAAACCAAAGGTCATTTTGGGAAAGCGCGGCAGGGTGTGGCCGCGCCAAGCGAGGGCGATGATGGCCTTGGCGGGCTTTTTTTTTTTTTTTTTTTTTCTCATTTCTTAAATCACTCTCTCTTGTTTGCTTTTCTCTGGCATTTTTCCTCCAGTGATCTCTCCCACTGTTACAAGTAAAGCTTCATAAATCCTGAAGCCTTAAACATTAATCTCAACCTCACCTTTCAAGGAAAGGGCTTTGTTCTGTGTTAGCAATTTTCTGGTGGTAACTGCAGCAAAGCTTCTGCAGCAAAGCTTCAGCCTCCAGCAGCTGCTGCTGTGCTGCCGACACCTCTGCTATGGTAAGGGAAGAGGTTAATGCAGATTTAAACAGTTAAGTGAAATACTCCAGCTAAAGTGACTTTGAGTTGCTGGTGTGATCCAGCACCAGGCAGGAGAAGAAACTAAGGAGACCTGACTGCCTGCTGCTCAGATGTAACCACCACTTGCACATGTCTGATCTACTGTTTAAATATTACCCAACGGCCCTACCACTAATTCTTAGACTGTCCCTAATGCTGTTCTCTCCCACCTGCTTCCCTTGAAAGCTTAAACATGTAATTTTCTTAGCAAAAGGGGAACTTGTTCATCTACCACAGTGCTCTGTCACTGGCAGAGGGGTTGCAACCACCTGTGTGCCAAGCAGGCAGCATTAATTAATTACTTCCAAAATTCTGCTGAAAGATGACTCGGGTGTGTCTGATCTGGTGCCCACCAAAGCCAGGGTGGGCAAAGCAGTTTTCCTACTGAGAGCAATATCATTCGGTTGAGGATGGGGCTAGATAGCAGAAGCCCTCCACAGATACAGCTGAAGTGGAAGCAAGTTTGTATCAACTGTGTGCTCTTTCTTTAATCAAGAAGTAACTTTGACAAAACTTAGTTGACTGAATTTTCCTTGTCATAGGTTGTTATACAGTCAATTCTAAATTAGCCAGGGCAGGCTATCTGGTGAGCTGAATTTTCTGTGAAAGCAGAAAGCAAAGACACTGCAGGTGGCTCCTTGTAAGGTCATTCCTGATTCAGCCAATTGGTAGTCACCAAAAAGCTTTCTTAAGAGCTAAAAAGGGCAACATTGACTAGGTAGTTTGTTAAGTGGGTTTTAGCGCCTGTGAAGATGACAATATCCTTGTGAAGGACAGTCTTTGCAACTGCTATCCAGATGAAGTAGGTATTAGTCAAGTAAATACTGGTGTTGATCACTGTTTATCAGGCTGGTGGAGTATTTGCTGAAGAGCTCTCCTCTGTGTGCGTAGGTGTCTTTGCAAACGCCAAGCATACTGTTAGCACAGCTGCACCATCACTGCTGGGTTTTTGCAGAAGTCCTTCCTTGGATGGTGACTATGGTTATTTTCTGTCTTGCTATCTTTGTTGAGAATTTGAATGTGCTTCATTTCTGGAATTCTTCACTGCTTGCTAGTCTGCCAGATCTTTTTCAGGCTCTGTCTACCTCCTACTTCCCTAGTTCCCTATGTCTCCTCTGCGCTTTGTCATAATTTTTGTATATAGTCAATGCAGCAGGTGTGGGATTGAAAAAAAAAAAGGGGAAATCCCATGTGTGAGATGTGAGACACTTGGTGCTTTCCTGGCATCCTGGTGCCTTGCAGTTTAGCCAGTAATCTGGTATCCCATGCAGGGCTCCTTATCAGTGACCTGCTGTGAAT